GCCATGAGCATTTCTGAACCATTATGCTAAACTGTGGCGGGGTAATCATTTTATTGTCACAGTTTGAAGGAAGAAAAATCCCCTGTATATCAGTAGCTAGGGGAGTACGGGAACACAGGAACACACTGACACACACAGCACACAACAGAAAACTTTTCCTTTTTGTTACCTGTGTGCTGAGGTTGGTACCTACTTTTGTAGGTATCACCTTTGTATGGAAGGTGATAAGATTTTAACAATGCCTATTCTGAGAAAAGATGAAGATTTCAAAAGAACATTGTTTCCCTTGAAAGTCGTTAAGGTTTTTGCTCATAAAACCTTAAAATTTATCGATAGAGACCTTAGCTTTGAAGTCAGTGGTGAAAATTCCCAGTGGCTTCAATACGTTTGGGATTGCAGTGCTTCCCTCTAACATCGAAGAACATTGTTTCCCTTGAAAGTCATTAAGGTTTTTGCTCATAAATCCTTAAAATTTATCAATAGAGACCTTAGCTTTGAAGTCAGTGGCGAAATTCCCGGTGGCTTCAATACTTTTGGGATTGCAGTGCTTCCCTCTAACATCTATATCTGTTAACTCAAACTGCAGGAGCAGCACAATGAAACATGTCAGATGTTAACACTGATTTGCCTTGATAATATGCAAAGAAGGAGAGCAGCTCATTAAGACTCATAACCGTTAGGCCATTTCAGCAGGTGGAGGATGTGGCCGCATCACCTTCAGCAAGGAGCTGCAAGGTCTGTGCCTGCAGTTGGAGGGGTGATACTTCGTTTTTCCTCAGTCCAATGACTGTCCTGAAAACACGCAGTGAATGTAATATACCCACGGCAAAGAGTCTTAAAATCTTATCTGATAATTAGGCTACCAAACTCTTCTGGTTCTGGTTGCAGTTGGCTGCCAGCTGTTCATTTAAAGAAAGTTTATATGTGTAAGAATGTGTAATTATTCTTTTTTATTATAATTCTTCTCTGGACTTAAAGTCCGTTCATGTTATCAATCATGTACACTCCATTGGCTTTATTAGAACTGGTCTAAGGTCCTGTACTGCATTTTTTTATCAGTGACATTTCAGACTTCAACTAAAATCTCGTTTTCTATACAAAAATGTAAATTTTATGTAACTTTTAAATATTTGTTTTAACAACATCATTTTAGAAATGATGCTTTGGTATTACAGAAGGGCATGTGAAGTGATAATATTTTGAAACAAAATATTTTGTTTTTCTTAGAAATATTAAAAAGTATTATAGTTAATTCCAGATAGACTCTGGAACTTTGCATTCTGAAAAAAAACAACAAAACAAAACAAAACAACAAAAAAAACCCAAAACTTATGTACTTTAGTTTCTCTTGTGACCAAAACAAAATGCAGAAAATTCGAGGTCTCCAATGAAAAGATCATTCTGCCTAGCTCTGTTTTTCTAGGGTTGCACAGAAGTAAACACCTTCCAGAAAGCACTTTGAAAGTTGCCAAATGATTAACAGAAGAAATATGAAGAGCTGAGGGCCTGAGCTGGCCAGACATTTGTACCAGGGGCATAAATAGAGCTGAGGTCATTGCCTTGCCCCACTCCCAGCATTACCTGTGGTGATGCTGGCAAATGGGACTCGATTCTTCCATCTCCTTCCTGGTGCTCCAAGGAGAGGGCTTGGGAAGGGCAGAGCTTTAGTGAGGCCAGTGTCCCAAACGACGCTGGCTGTTGCAAATATGCCATCGTATAAACATGTTTTGTGCCTTCAAAAACAGGTAGCAGTCTGGATGCCTCCCTCAGCACGTCTCCTCGGGCTTCCTCAGGATGCAGCCCTTCAGCACAGCGTTCCTTGCGGGGCAGCACCCCTGTGCAGCCCTTCCAGTCTTTACAGACCCTTGTGTTTTAAGACAAGAGAAGCTGTTTGGGGAAAGTTGGGAAGTCCCACTGATTTTTGTGACTGGTCCCAAGTGATCTCGCTGCTTCTCAGGTAGTGCCTGCAACCTGTCCTCATCTTTAAACCACCAAGTCCTGACTTTTCCTCCTCAGAGATGTCCTGGGCTATTGCCAGCAGTTCCGGTGAGGCACTGATTCAGCACAATTGCTACATATTGAAATAAAATTACATGTGTGAGTGGTCGCATTGACTTTGCAGCTGAGAGTGTCCCAGGAACATTCCAGTGCAGAACAAGGACATCTGCTCAAAGTCCCCCCGGCTGCAAAGGTAGTTGGCATGTGTTTGATGTTAAGCGCATACACATATAAAGTATCAGAATCAAATACATGGGGCAGCACAGAGAGTGCAGCACCTTGCGCTTCTGAATGCAAGGTAGGTACTGCGAAGAACACCACAAGATAAACAGCAAGACCTGTAGTGGGGACCTGTAACTGCAGAACAGTATCTTGCATTCATTTTAAAGATGAATTGAATCTGTAATTTTGAAGCCTGCATATGTTTTCTGTTAATGGCTTATGGTCTCAAACAGTTTTTATTCACTGGTACTTAGGAAAAAAATGTCGCTTGTAGCCTTTAAGAAAAGTAGCTCATTCTCTGACACATGGGAAACTGATTATCTTCGGGTTTTATTGTGGGGTGTGGGTGTCCACAATCAACTGGAAATACTGGAAAGGGTGTAATTTGGAAATGATTTTAATTTTCATTTATGAAAAAGTTCGATTCTGTGAAAGGGCTAGATGGCATTTTGAAAAGCTGCTTTCACTGTAAATCCATTGCTATGAGCTCGGCTGAAAGGAAAGCATTTGGTTTTGGACTTTGCAATGGTTTTTATGCACAGTTTTATGCAAGTAACTTGAATCCAAATTAAACATCTTGAAGTTACTTCTGTGTGCGCGCAACATTTTCGTAATGGTAATGTTAGGATGTTTCTTTTGTTAGCTCATGTAAAAGTTAATGGCTGTGCTCTGCCAAGTTTGGAGTAGGGTAATGATTTTTTTTCTGCCTGTGTGTTTGTGTTTTTCACTGGAACTGGCATCCCCAAAAGCTTAGGTAGTGGAAAAGTTTGTGCCTGACACAACCTTTTGTAGGTAGGGACGGGGTCTGTTTGCTCCCCACGCATGCGTTCCATCACCGGTGGTGTGAGTCTGTAGCAGTGCCCACAGAAACACTCACTGCTACGGGTGACTCAACAGCTCCCTGTCCAGCTCCCTCCTGCTTCCCAGCTCCACGCCCACCGCCCTGCCCCGCGGCTGGGAGGATGGAGCCTCTCACCAGCCTCACCACTCCCGCAATTAGCTCCAAGTGACCAGAACTTTGCTAAATAATCATAAAGATGCACAAGGTCTCTTTAGCACTTTATGTTTGGAGCATTTTAAAGTAGGCTTCTGTGAATGAATTGATTTACTGTCTTTACAATCAGAAGAATGCAGGGCAGGGGCTGCGCCACTACACAGACAAGTGAAGGAACTCATGGGGGCAAGGGTGTTGTCCTGGATGCTGCTAACATGTGGGTGGCTTTCAGACCTGTATCTTCCTAGTAAATCCTTACCTGATGAACTGCCTGAGTGCTCTCTCTTGAGTATGTCACCAAGTACTCAAAGTTACAAACCAAATGACCAGCTCAGACAGCCTTTCCATCAAGTAGCAATTCACAGCCAAATGTCAGCAACCCTAAAAGTAGAGGTATATGTGCATATATATGCAGCTAACCAAGTCCTGCTGATTGACACCTGACTGACATTGCAGAATCAGTGTGGGCACTGGCAGCCCTTCACATGTTTTCAGTGGAGCCAGCCTCTTCTCTCTGCTGAGGTCTGGGCTCAGATCTAAAGGAAAGAATCTTGCTTTTCAACACTGAGGTTGGCTGGTGGAGTTTTGCTGCTCCTTGAGGGATCTGTTTTTCATGGCTAATGAAATTGTTAAGGTACCCACTTTACTTAAAATGTTACCTAGTGGCATGGTGTCATATTTTCACCTCATGCTGTATTAGCAAGGAGAAGTTGGTGGCATTTGGGATGGAGTTGCTTCTTTTCATCAATCCATATGGCCACCCTGAGACTCCACAACTGAGAGTTACCCAGGGCTTTTTGTCTTGTGCAGGTTATTTTCCCAGTAATGTTATTCCTGTTGCTTCAGCACAGTTCATTTCTGATGTACTCTGGTACCACAGAGGAATGGAATCAGTATGTGGGTGTTTATATTTCTCTGTCCCACCAATATATAAATTTGAGCATGCTTCTGCTTGAATGGTCTTAAACCAGAAGATCTTACACCAAGATTTCAGTGTACTACTTCGAGCAGTACTTAGTTTTCAACATCCTCTCAGAAGGCACTTTAGTGCGTGTGATGCCAAGAAAGTGGCTAGTGAGAGCGGGGACAGACTCTATGAACACGGCAGAATGCATTGCACACACTTCTTGGTTATCCAGTAGGTGCAATGTACCTGGAATGACTAGAGGGCAGGGTTATAGGTTTTGGATTTTGTGTGTGTGTGTGTGTGTTTTTGGTGATTTTTTTTTTTTTGTGTGTGTTAGCCAAAGCATTAAAGAAGGGCAGCGTGGTTTAATACTAGAGCAACCTGGATCTGATTGCAAATCAGTTAAAGAAGTGCTGAGGGTTACACCCTTTTTTATTTAGCCAATATTTACATAATATTTATAGGAGTTTCCTTGATGAATTTGGGTTATGATGTATAATAAAGCAAGTTCACTGGAGATTTTTTTCTTAACTTGGGTATTGCACATTTCATATAGAATAAAGATAGGGATTTGTCCTGATTTCCAATTGGTCTCTGCCCATCATGTTGTGATTTTTATGTTAATGTAGACTTTAAAAAGTTAATTTTTTCCGATGCAGATAACAAAACCAAACAGAAATTAATTCAGGATAAAATGCTTCCAAAGATATAGTTTGAGGTCGTGCACATGTACTAGAAAGAATATGATTGCTGAAATCTTTGTGTTAGTAAGGGGGGAAAATGAAAGCTCCTTTTATTTTATTTTTCTCAAGTCTTCTATCATTAAAATCTGGTTCTAACAGCAGAATACTTCTCTTTTTCATGTGTGTTGAAAAGCAGCTACACCATGTATCAAAGCCATCAGTCCAAGTGAAGGATGGACTACAGGAGGTGCCACTGTCATCATCATAGGAGACAATTTCTTTGATGGGTTACAGGTCATATTCGGCACCATGCTGGTTTGGAGTGAGGTAGGTGTTGTCTGAACGGTATTGTCTAATAGCTTTGTCTAGCTTACAGCTAGCCTGTCCTTTTTCTATGCCACATGCTAAATCAGCAACAAATGTTGAGATGTGAATCCTTTCCTCATTTAGTTTTATAAAAATAATTAGTCAAATTTACCTGTGGCAGAAATCTATTATAGCCAGGGGATTTGCATGTCCTTTCACTGCTCCCGAATTTAGTTCAGTGCCTTTTATTCCAAGAAAACGAAAAGATAAGTGCCCGTGTGAATAATTCTGCATTTAGCACTACAGTTGCTAAGGGCCCACAGGAAATAAACGTTTGGGTGATCCTGCCTTCCAGGGAAACTGCCTGCTTGGAGCTGCAGCTCGGTGAGGTGGAGATTGCAGAAATTCAGCACCTCTGAATAGCATGTCCTTAAAGTGTAGGCACTTGGTATAAGTACCGTCTGTGTAATAGCAACCAAATACACAGTATTGTATCCACAGTGGAAAACACAGATTCGTCATGCTCTGCTCCTGGCACATGATTAAATGTGGAGCCTGATATTCCCCAAAAGCCCCAGGAAAGTTAAAACTCAGGCAGCACCACCCGAATGGCCACTTCCAGTGCACGGGGCCATAGAATTCAGGGCAGAGTTCCCACTGGCTTCACTGGCATGAGAAGGCAGCTCCAAGAAAATGTTTATGTTTTGCATTTGTGACTTTTCAAAAGCATTTTGGAGGTTTTACAAGAAATTGTTATAGTCATGATTTTAATACTGAAATAAACACTAGCATCTCTAAAAGAGCTGTACAAAGGTGGTGTAAGGATCTTCTGTTGCTTTGCCTTATATTCTACAATTATTAAATAAACATTATAGCTTAATTCATATCCAGCACATTCTCCCTACTGATTCCATCGCACATATCGCAGCATTTTTTCCATATGAAGAGTATCCTCTAATGTCCTTCATGAGCTTCACTATTCTCTCTCTCTCTCTCTCATCCTTCCACTTGAGGACAAGTGTGGATGAAAGGGCATTCCAGAAAAGGAGAGATATTAAATGAGCCCTATTCTGAAGCCCTTATGTGATCATGAAAGTGCCCCCTGGGTCCAGTGTAAGCATTTTGTGTGTTAGGATTGAAGCCATTATGGCTGCAGGCGTTTAACAGAAAGGTGAAGAGGCTGGGAGGAAAGTGCGCTGGTTTTGGTACTGCAGGATTGGATCTTTCATTATAAATCTTGATTCTATTTATTAGTGGAAGCCATTAATTGGCAATTTCTAATCTCAGGAGAGTGAGTGCTGGTCAAAACATTGCTGCTGATGGTTGCAAGGTGTTGTCGTAGAATTAATAATGTTAGAGGAGGTACGGACCAAAGTCAGTCTGTTTGTTGTGAATGCTTTAACGGGCTGCACATTGGCTTTGAGTGAAAACTGTTTCACTATCTGTCCCTTACACCACTGCTTCTCAGCTTCATAACCTATGAGAGCAATAGAAAATCCTAACGGGGAAAAGAAATGATTTCTAAAAGAAGGAGACAAACATGATAAACAAGTGCAGAATTGCCTGAGATGTCTGAGTGATCCCTAAATAATAGTGATCTATAAATAATTCAGATTACACATACTAGCCACATATGAAGTACAAAATAAGTTCTTTCATTTGCCTTCCCATTTCTAAAAATGTCTCATACATTTTCAGTACCCAGGAAGAGTATTTTTGTTTTAATTTAATAGAGTGTAGAATTGAACTGTCGATCTTCTGAATTTCAGTGCCATTTCAAACCTGAACAGGTTCGTCTTGAGCTGCCAGTCAGCCCAACTTTGAGCAAACCTGGCCAGGTTATTTTTCCATTGGATTCAAGAAGAATTTTCTTGTTATTTCATGGATCCAAAGAAAACATGATTTTAACTGAGCAGTAGAAAATCCAAAACCAAACTAGATAGGCAGAAACTAAAGAACAAGAGTGAACCTTGCAAAGCATTTTCACATAGGTTTCTCTAGCTTCACTTTCAGTTGTAATCGCAGGTGGTTTAGGGGATGAAGTCTAATATTGAAATTAAGCATCATTTTGCCACAGTCTTTGCATGGGACCTTGAGCAAATCACATAATCTGCTTAAAGTTCAATTCTCTTTCTCTAAGATAGTAATAAGATTAGTCACCTTCTTTGGAGAAGGTGCTGTGAAGATAATTATGGTAAAGGTCCTGTATTGCTCAGATTTTGTTATAGCAAAATCCATCTAAGTACCTGGGATGCATAGATATTTAAAATATAAATCCTACCACAGTTCAGAAGCAAAGTAAAAAGCCAAAAAACCATTTCTTAATTTTAAGAGTGTATTTGTTGCTGTCAAGCAGCATATGTTATAAATAATTTGAAATGTAAATAATATATCTTTAATTTATTTTACATGTATTCAAGTTTTGTAATTGAAATATTTATATGCTTGAAATGGAGGTGACTGTTAAAAAAGGAGGTTTAAAATGGTTTCTGAAACACATATTTATTATTTAAACATATATTTTAGCTGTAAACACTCTAACATAATTACAACCTTTCTCAGCCAGGGAGAACTAAATAAAAACTTAATTTGTCACATTAATTTTCTGCAGAAATGCAGATACCCTAAGCCAGTAGGTTCGATTAATCCTTAACTCCCATTATTATTATTTTATAAAAATTGCTTTAAAAGCCCTTGATATTTTTAGAATACAGCAAAATGGGCCATCTAGTACCTTTTTTTCAAGGGACTTTCATAGCGGACAAACAAACTGCATCAGTGTGCACATGCTGAATCTGGACAGACAACTCCCAGCAAATAGTCTGTTTGCCAGATAGGCTCTGCCTTTCTGTTTGTCCAGTCCACAGGCAGATGGAGTTGTTATTTGCAGGTTTTTAAGCAGTGTTCTGGGTCTGTGTGTTGTTGCAAATATTCAAAATCTGAGCTGCTGATAAAAATCCTCTGTGGTTTCTCTCTCTTGTTGGAGGGCTGAAACTCCAAGAGTCGAGTTTCAGGGCAGATACATGATTGTGAAGACAAAATTAGTTTCTTATAAATATTCCACAATATTTGCTTAAAATGAACTATTTCTTCAAACATTTTCCTGCCAAGAACATTCCTCCAGCTGTACAGAGTCAGCTGGAAACGACTTCTTTTTCTTTTGTATTAAGAAAAGATGAAGCACTGAAACATCAGTTCTTTTACCTTTGTACAGCACAAAAACAGAGGATGATTTTTTTTTTCTTTTTCTTAATGGTGCAGAATCAAATTCTGTGACACAGTTTTTTATTTTGCTTTTTATGTTTATTATTGATTTTGGAAGTCTCTGGTTTTGAGTGCTTATTTTGGAGGTCTGACTCATTTTTAAAAAATGAGTAGGCACCCTCTTTTTTAAAAGCAAGGCTTATTAAGCAGCATCTGGATGCCCAAAATTGAGGCATGCAAAGTCACCGGTCGTTTTAAAAATATAGGTATCTAACGGGTCCCGTTCTCACTGAAAGCTGTAATTACCTTCAGTTGGTGGGATTTTTCTTCGTTCCTGTCCTAATGGTCCTCTTGACACAGAGTCCAAGTTAAATTTATGACTGATTGTCACCATTCCCTAACCACAAACCAGAGCTCAAGCATGCAAAAATAAACTAGTGACTCAGATTAATGACATCTCCTTATAAAATGTCACTTTTAAAAAAGGAAAGTAACCTGGCACTCTGAAGAGTGTGAAATGATGCTGTATCACGCAAGAATGTCTAGAATATATTAGCAAACCACAGAAAGAGGCTTGTTGTACACACACAAACCAAATGTGTTTTGTATTTTGAAGGGCACACACCTCCCTCCATTCTGAAGGTCTCTAACTCAGGTATTAATGGAATACACAGCGTATCCCAACTGACCTGTAGGAGTTTGCATCAAACATTTAGTGCAGTTGCCAAGACCACCTGAAAATCCCTTGGGAGAAAGGGTCCAGTTACTAATTTTGTATCCAGCTCCAGATCCCAATTAGCCAGATGCTGGAATAGAAGAGGAAGCTGGATCTGGGATTTTGGCTGATGGGTTCATCTCCAAATCACAGATTAATGCCTTGCTCAAGATTTACGTTTAAAAAATGTGTTCAAATGTGTTCAGAAACATACCTAACTCATATTTATAAATTCTCAGTTCTTGGTATGTCGTTGCTACTGTTGTTATAATGTCTGTTAATGCACCAAGAGCTCCCACCTGAGGTTAGGACACAGAAATGGCCATATGGGGTCAGACGGGGAGGTTCATCTAGCTCAGTGTCTTGTGTTTGGTGCTGGGCAATGACAGATGTCAGTAAAAACAACAGGGTGAGCATGTAGTGATGCTTGCCTAGAACGCTCTAACAGCCTCCAACCATTTGGGGCTCAGAGGCTTCCACAAGTGGTGTCTTTACTTTTAGTATCCCTTGATGCTAATAGCTCACCTTTTCCACATGGTTTATGTGCAAATAGGAGACAGGCTGTGCCTTGGAGAAGGTACAGGCTATGTCAGTGTGAGAGGGGAAAACGTGCTCGGAAAAGGTGGAGTGGGCTCCCAAGGTCAGGCCACAGGTTGACAGTGTAGACTGGAAAACATCTCATAATCTTTATTGGAGTTACTGAAGTCAGGGGCAGATTTGCTCTTGCTGTGCGTGGGCCTGGAGTACCCAAACCCATGCAGCACCCATTGGGTCACTTGGATTGCAGAACAGAGTTAGGGCAATTTGGAGAGCTGGTCCCCATCCATAGTGCAGATCCTGGCAGCACTAAAGAATCGGAGTTTGAGACCAAAGGTGGGTTTCAGAGGGCAGGTTACAAAGTGCAAGGGGACATTAGAGACAATTTACACAGAATCACAGAATGTTAGAGAT